AAAAAAAAAAAATTCAAGCACATCATTTTTGGTTTTGAAGACCACTGTTACATGTATTACCGATTGTTTTCTCAACAGCTGGTAACCAAACACAATTTTTATCGCAATAAACATGGTGTTGCACCACTGAAACCAAGCAGTGAGTTGGAAAAATCAGCGCAAATCTGGGCTCAGCAGTTGGCTAACGAAGCAATTTGCCTGGAACACGATCCATCAAAAAGGTAATTCGTCTAACATCCGGTTACCACCAGTCACATCACATGTCGTTTAAACAAAGGAAATGACCGGCTTCCAGCTACTAACAAAATTTCATTATCCAGCCATTTTTCAGTTCACTATTCTAAACCTTCGTTTCAAAAGTCTATCTTGAAAGAGGGACACGTTTAATGCCATTATTTTATTCGGAAGCGCTGGTCAATTCTGGCGTTAATAAATTAATGTAACCCCTGTGAAATTGATAACCGCCTTTTACTGGAAGCTGATTTTTGTAAGGTTTGGTGAAAATTTATTCTATTATGCTACCGATTTACTGCCAGACGAAAAGACAATGGCACACATGACTGTACAAAGCTTTTATCTTGAAGCACGTGGATATAATTACAAAACGTTGGTTTACTTATTACTCATCCAGTGATTTTGCTAGACAATAACAACATAATCGCCACCAAGAAAATCGTAGCAATATTGAATTCTTAGTATTTTAAGGCCTCTGATTACTTTTTTCGATGAACTGAGCAACTTTAATATCTTTTTGAAGTTAGTCAACAATCAAAACCCCCTCTGTAATCGCTTTTTGTGAGAGATAGAAGCACTTGCTGTATTTCGTAAATAGCAAGCGAGTCACTTAGAAGCAAGCCGATGGCGGATCAGTCGTATAATAATAAATTTGTATTTGCGCATGCCAGAGAATCATGTCCGCCGTGGGCTTACTCAGTGCGATCCACAATGCTACTCTACTTCAATAAGTCATTTTTTTTTCGTGCCTTAGGGCCAAACTTAATGTTATCAGGCTAGCTTGTCTAGCC